AGTGTCTGTCACTTAAGTGAGTGTGCTTACCTACCCCCCTTCAGACATGCAAGGGGACCAGATAGATTATAGTGTCGTACTATAATCTATCTATTTTGCAGAATGGGACTTGGTGCTCACTGCAAGAGCAGGACCATTAATGTGCAGCTATAAGACTCATGAGGCCTTGGGTTTTTAGGCGGGAAATAAGACTTCCTTTTTTGTTATTCAAAGCCACCAATCCTTAAGTGCTGTGTGCCAGGCTCTGTTCTCTGCGCTTCACATATATTCTAATCTTCACTACAACCTTGGGAAGTGGGCACAAGCTGGGAAACTGAGGCACAGAGTGACAAAGTCACTTTGCCTAAAATCACACAACTTGTGAGGCCAGATTCCCCATGCTCCCACTCTGTTGCTGGGACCCAGGTGGAGGGGGTACTGGTGACTCTGGGATTTGAGGCCCCCTCCACATCAGCCCCCTAGGGAGCAGCCAAAAATGCTTGGGAACTGAGCTGAACAGGATGTGGCCTTGGACCTGAGCCTGGCCCTGCCCCTTCCCACCCTGAGTTCCTGCTTGGACGGGGGCAGGAAAGGGAGGCCTGGTCTGGCTTGAGGCCCGAGTGGGCGGCCTGCCCCAAGCACAAGGGGTGGGAACTGGCTCTGTGGGCTCATCCAGTCATTCAACACTCATTGAGTGCCTACTGTGTGCAGGGTGTTTACTAGTAGGATGACCACACTGGGACACAGTACACACAAAGGCAGGGAGACATCTGAAAAGGGAAAAATGAGACCAAGAGGTGGGGTGGGGCCGAGCCATGCAGGAATTTGTGTTCAGTGCAGTGGGAAGCTTTAAAATTTAAGTTTTAAGCCTGGCCGGGTGTGGCTCAGCAGTTGAGCGTCGACCTGGGATCCAGGCGATCCGGGTTCGATTCCCAGTCAGGGCACATGCCCAGGTTGTGGGCTCGATCAATGACTCTCTCATCATTGATGTTTCTTTCTATCTCTCTCTCTCTCCCTCTCCTTTCCTCTCTCTGAAATCAATAAAGATATATTTAAAAAAATAAAATAAAATTTAAGTTTTAAGATGCTTCCTTAGAAGGCAGGTGGGGCGTGGCTCAGTGGTTGAGTGTCGACCTGGGATCCAGGGGATCTGGGTTCGATTCCCGGTCAGGGCACATGCCTGGGTTGCAGGCTCGATCCCCAGTCGGGGTCATGCAGGAGGCAGCCAATCAATGACTCATCACTGATGTTTCTCTCTCTCTCTCTTCCTCTCCTTTCCTCTCTCTGAAATCAATAAAGATATATTTTTTTAAAAAAAGAAGGCAGGTGGTGAGTGGGAGCCAGCAAGGCAGCGTAAGACATGCAGGTGGTTACAGTGGCCATTCAGGCAAGCGAATATGAGACTCGGCCCAGGGTGGCACAGGTGACAGAGGACACCACAGAGAGGGGACACAGGAAGACCCAAGAGTGGAGAATTTTAAGCTGGGGGGAGTGGTATTGTGCCAAAAGCCGCTTCTGTGCCAGTTGAACAAGGGCCTTGATTTTGGTGGGAGGGGCTCTCTGTGTTACTGACAGAGGAGGGGGAAAACTCAGTGCCTCAGCTTCCTCTTTTGCCAAATGGGACAGGCCTTTTCTGCAAACCTGTAAATGGTAGTTCTGTGTAGCTCAGTGGGAATTAGATGCCCTCATGCTGTGCCAAGGTTGAGTTGGGCCTCAAGAGGGAGTAGAGGGTGTGGATGGTGGGAGTATCAGGGACAGCCTCTGCCAGATCGTCCCATTCACCCACAGGTTCGAAATCGAGATTGAGCCCATCTTTGGCATCTTGGCCCTGTATGATGTGCGGGAGAAAAAGAAGGTAGGAGCCCCTTTCTTCCCCTTCCTCCTTCATTCCCCTCCTTGTTGCAAGGCTGTGGACTTCCTGGAGGTGGTGGCTCAGCTTCCTTTTGTGCTCCCAGATCTCGGAAAACTTCTACTTTGACCTGAATTCAGACTCCATGAAGGGATTGCTGCGGGCCCATGGCACTCACCCGGCAATCTCCACCCTAGCCCGCTCTGCCATCTTCTCCGTGACCTATCCCTCGCCTGATATCTTCCTGGTCATCAAGGTGCCCACTGGGACTGGGCAAGGGGGGGTAATGGTGAATGTCATAAGCGTAGTCCTGTTCTCATGGAAGAACACAGACATGTCCCAAGAAGGATCAGGTCTCTTGTGGGGGAAGCACAGGCAGTGGGCAAGCCTGGAGGAGGCTCCTGACCCAGCCCACGTCAACAGAAATCACTGAGGGCTTCCATGGAGAGGTGACAGCTGAGCCATGAGTGGGCAGCTTATAGAGAAATGGCATCCTGACATAGGGGGACAGACCATATATATATTGATTTTAGAGAGGATGAGAGAGAGAAACATCAATTTGTTGTTTTACCTATTAATGCATTCACCAATCAACTCTTATATGTTCCCTGACTGGGGATCAAGCCACAACCTTGGTGTGCCAGGACAGTGCTCTAACCAACTGAGCTACCCGGCCAGGGCCTAAAATATTTTTTTAAGCTGAGAGCTTTTCAGTTTATTAGGGGAGGAAAAACCTAGTTGGCACATGTATTTAGGATTTTCTCTTTCTAGGAGTGAGCTTAAATTTCCTTTCCCAAAACGTTCAATTAGGTTACACTAATGACATTAATTGAGCACCTATAGGCCTGCACTGGTCAGTCAGGCTTCACAGGGATTCCCACCTTTAGTCCTCACAGCATCTCTGGGAGGTGGGGGTTGCCATGGCTCCATTTTATAGGTGGGGAAACTGAGGCACAGAACATGTAAGGGACCTGCTCAGGATCCCACAGCCCAAAGTGGTCAGGATTGAAGTCTAGTCTTATGGCTCAGAGCCATGCTTGGAGTGGTGTCTGTTTATACTGACAAAGAATTGTAGATGTAGGGAAAATATGGAGCCTTGGCTTTGAGGTGGGTTCAAAAGGTGGGGAGGGGGCAGCTGGCCAGGCAAGTCAACTCCTAGCACTCAATCCCGAGGACAGGGGAAGCCATGGGAAGTGTTGGAACAAGAGCTCTAGTGTATGGGGTGTCTGGGGGCTTATGAGAGGTCCAGGAGGTTGGGGGTAGGGTGGGGAAGTTAGGCTCCTGCAGCTCCTCACTGGGCCTGCCTGTCCTCAGCTGGAGAAGGTATTACAGCAGGGAGACATCAGTGAGTGCTGTGAGCCCTACATGGTAATGAAGGAGGTGGACACAGCCAAGGTAAGCAGGTGGAGGCTGGACCTGGTTGTGAATGGGCCACCCTGCAGGGCAGATCCTGCATTCGGCAGGCCTGGGGCATTGAGCTTCTGGGTGTTGGAGGGTCTCCCCACAGAACAAAGAGAAGCTGGAGAAGCTTCGCCTAGCAGCCGAGCAGTTCTGCACCCGCCTGGGCCGCTACCGCATGCCATTCGCCTGGACAGCCGTGCATTTAGCCAACATTGTGAACAGCGCGGGGCAGCCGGACCGTGACTCGGACTCGGAGGGTGGTGAGGAGGCGGGGCTGGTGGCCGGGGGCGGGGCTGTACCGGGGACGGGGAGGGCGCCCTCTGCCGGCCGGAGTCTCTACCAGGCTGAGTCTCCGAGTTTCTCTGACTCGCCCGTCTCTGTCCCCCTCCATCCATCACGGTAACTGCCTCCCTAGAGCGCCGACCTGCCTGGACTGACCGCCGCCGCCGGGGGCCCCCAGACCGGACGAGTAGTGGGGATGACGCCTGCAGCTTCTCCAGTTTCCGCCCTGCCACACTAACTGTCACCAACTTCTTTAAACAGGTGTCGAAGCCACAGGGCAGGGGGCTAGGGGAGGGGTGCCAAGGGACACCCCTGTGGCCACACAGCCCCAGGGGACCCAGCTCACGGGGGCGGGTCTGATGCAGGAAGCGGAGAGGCTCAGTGATGAGGATCTCTTCAAGTTCCTGGCTGACATGCGGCGCCCGACGTCCTTGCTACGGCGTCTACGGCCTGTGACCGGTGCGTGGCACACCCCGTAGACAAGAGGTGTCACTCACACAGTCACTCAACAAACACTGACCACCTGCTATGTCTGACCCTGGGGACTCAACAGTGAGCATGATAGACAAATCCCCAACTTCAGGGGCTGGACATTCCAGTGGGGGGCCACAGATTAGAAACAGAATTAAAAAGACACATTGGGTCACTTGGGGGATGTAGTGGCTGGGGGGACATGGATCTGGAGGGCAGAGCCAATCAAGTATGGGGGCCAGAGATGGGAGGTGAGGGTGATTTCTGGCCTTAGTACCTGAAGGACAGCCACCAGAGGGCATTGTGGGAGAGTCAGAGCCCTGACCCCAAAGCCCAGAGAGGGTGGGGCACCATCAAGAGGCAGGTGCAAACTGGCTCCCCCTCCCCAGCCCAGCTCAAGATTGACATCTCCCCGGCCCCCGAGAACCCCCACTTTTGCCTCTCCCCGGAGCTGCTTCATGTCAAGCCCTACCCAGACCCCAGGGGCCGGCCCACCAAGGAGATCCTGGAGTTCCCCACCCGTGAGGTCTACGCTCCCCACACAAGCTACAGGTACAGCCTCAGGCCCAGTTGGGCACTTGAATGGGGGTGTTCCGGCATCGTGCAAAGTGAGGCCCCCTTCCTCCCAGAGACACACAGACACCCAGGGTGAGATGCCACTGCTTGCTTTAATGGTATGTAGTCATGAAGGAACACATGTCTTTCCTTCACCTCTCCTCAGTGGGGCCATGTCTTCTGCCTTCGTCCCCACCTGCTTCTGTCTCTGCTCTGTGGCCGGAAGCGGGGCCTGACAGCCTGGCTGACCCTAGCAGACAGGCAGCTCCTCCCTGTGCAGGGGCCACATGGGGCGTGGAAGCATCCCTAGGTGCATGGCTGGTCCTCAGTTCTGCCAGGTAGGCTCAGGCTGGGAGCGCTGCTGTGTGGAGTCTGCAAGGGAGATGAGGTTTAGCCAAGGCAAGGAGTGGGGGGGGGGCATCTGGCTGCCCTGTGTACCCCCAATTCAGTTGCCCTACACGCCCAACCCCCACCAGGCTCACCTCTCCTGGATCTGTCGCAGCCGGTGCTGCTGCGCCGCCATCTCCCGCCTTTGTCGCTGAACGTGGCCTGTGAGGGCCCACACAATGTGGCTCTGCTTGTCAGCACGGGCCTGTGGGGTCAAGACAGAAACCTCAGCTGGGGGCCATCTCACTTCCCATCCCCTGATCCTACTCAGCCCCCTCTCCTCATTGCATCTGTGTGACCCAGTAAGTCACTGCCACTCGTAGGCCTCAACTTCCCTATCTAGAAAATGGGAAAGAAATGGGACTCACTCGGTGGGATTATGAGCATGATATAATTAAAGGGCACAAAACAGTGCTGGGTACTTATTGGACACTCAAGAAATGTGACCAGTTGCTCTGTTTGAATGCCTAGCATCTTTCTGGCTCTGTGCTGAGTATTTTATCTGCACTGAGTCCCTGGCCCCTCTCTGAAGCATCAATTGTTGCCTTTATTTGCAAATGGAGAAACTGAGACATGGAAAGGGACATGGGTTTTGCCCAGGGTCACACAGGGAGAAGCCATGGAGCTGGGAGGCTAACCTGTGTGTGTGTGTGGGGGGGAATCTCTAGGACTTGCTCTAGAAGCAAATTCTATCTGGGAATCAGGGTCTTGACTCCCCCAGGGCTGGGAGCCCCTTACCTTTAAGGCCTCAAATTCTTGATGGGCAGGGCCCAGCCAAGCACCCCTCAGCCGGACTTCTAGCTGTTGCATGCTCTCCCGTAGCACCTGCTGTCCCTGGGCCGCCTCACCCAGCGCCTGGGCCGTGGCTTCTGCCTGCAGCTTTAGGGCATCCTCTTCTGTCTGTTCAAGTGACATCAGCAGGATGACCAATTTGTCTTTGCCTGAGACGTGCCTGATTTAAACACTGAAAGTCCTGTATTCCAGGAACCCCCTCTCCCTGGGCAAACCCAGACAGTTGGTCACCCTGGACATAACTCCACTGCAGATTCTTACCCACCCCATTAAGTAAGAAACTGCAGTGCCTACCTGCATCTCCAACAAGCTTGCTCGTAGCTCCTGGGCTGCATCCCAGCCATGGCTGACCTCCTGCCTCAGGAGCCCCAGTGCACGGCCGTAGAGGCCTAGGTTGTCCCTGGCCTCCATCAGCCGTGTCTCTGTGGCCCTGTATACACCATTGAGGGCCTGGCCCAGCTGCAGGGCCCCATGGAAGAGCAGGGTCAGCTCCTCGTGCTGTGCCGGCTCCAGGCTGCCCACGGGCGCCGTAGAGGCAGGCCAGGCCATTGTTAGCAGGCCACACAGCAGACACAGCGGGAACATGGGTATGCCTGAGTGGTTGGAGGTGCAGTCACGGCGCCACTGCTGCCTCCTTTTATGCCTCAACACCCCTTTAACCCCCGGTCAATCGTTAACCAGCCAGTCGGGTGCCTGTGTTGTGCAAGGGCCTGGCAGTGGCACGATGGTTGCATCAGGCGAATGTCTGGCCGGGCCACGCTGGAATCATGCTGGCTGGGGCTCAGGGCCAGGTGTGGGCTGGGGGCACTGGGAGAGGACAGGACCAGGTCTTGCTGGGGGACCATGAGTCTTTGAGCTTTGTTTTTCCCACCTGTGGACAGGCACAACAATAATGATAACAATAGGCTTTTATGAGTTCCACCGGTTTGCTCCGAGCTGTTCCACTGCCATTATAGTAACTGATCTTGTACCTTTCCCACAAACCTCTGATGCTGGCGACTTTGTTGGCCTGGTTGAGGACTGGGGGAGTGGGTGCAGGTGGCGGGGACTCTCCCAAGGCCACACAGCCTAACTTTAAGACCCACACATGCCCCAGATCAATGCTAACTGCCAGTTTTCTCTGGATAACTGTGGGCAAGTGTCTCACTTTCCTTGCCTGTGAAATGGGGGTGACATTAGTCCTCCTTCACAAGCTGCTTGTGAGAAGTAAATTAGTTGTTTCATGTTGAGTGCTTAAACAGCCTGGCATGCAAGTGCCCCATTAGTGATTGGTACAATCATTGTCATTACTGTTTGTCATCTTTGGTATTGTTACAGAGGCTTAATGCCCCCATTATACAGATAGGGAAACTGAAGCCCAGAAGGAGGTTGGGGCTTGCACAGAGTTGCGCCTGGGGAGGGAGGCAGACCTCTGACCCCAGCCCAGCCCCTGTGCTGACTCTAGTCTGTTTTCCCACCTGAGAGACAGATCATATAACTAGTGGCTTCTCCTGGGGGAAGTGGTAGACAGGCCCCTGAGTGGGTGAGAGGCAGGTCAGCCCCGGCAGGGCTTATGCCTGATCACTGGCCACCTGGGCCACCTTGCAACCTCATTCCTGGGCATCCATTTGTCCCCCCTGCTCTTTGCCTCACCATGTCTCATTAGTGCCACCAAAGACCTCTGTGTTTCCACCCTTTGCCAGTTTCCCTACCTATGCTCTGAGGGTGCCCATCTGTCTACAGTTCTGCCAGTCACGTTTCTGGACCGTGCCCCTAATTGCTGCTCACCTAGCCCTCAGTGCCTCGGCCATGTGGCCATTGTCCTATGTCCCAAGCCGGCTTCGTTCCAGTAGCCCAGCCTCTTTTGTCCCTTTGACGCTCCCCTTCTCCCGTCCTCACAGGAACCTGCTCTATGTGTACCCGCATAGCCTCAACTTCAGCAGCCGCCAGGGCTCCGTGCGCAACCTCACTGTGCGAGTGCAGTATATGGCAGGCGAGGACCCCAGCCAGGCCCTGCCGGTCAGTGGCTGGACCCGGGAGAGGTGGGCGAGGTGTCCATGGCTGGCCACTCATGGCCCTGCTCCCCCAGGTCATCTTTGGCAAGTCCAGTTGCAGCGAATTCACCCGTGAGGCCTTTACACCGGTGGTCTACCACAACAAGTAGGTGTGGTGGGGGGATGGGGCACTGATGGGGG